GAGTCGAACGTGCGGAAAACCTATAGAATCTTTTTGCCAGAACGCCGCTCGTTAAGCTCTCTTGAAAACGAATAAAAATTACGCCCGCGGATCTCTAAATTCCTTCCACCGGCAAAAAGCAAAACCGCGGTGGGGCGATCTTTTTTACGCTCCCTCGCTGCATCTATATCATCACTGCTAAAGTATTATCTGACGTCGCGTAATTTCTTGACAAACGACTTCGACGACGTCAATGGCGACGAGAGGATAAGAAATGTAGCTCTTTGAATGAAAACCTCTGTGGGATGCTCGGAATCTCGAATGTGGATCGAGAGAAAATTTCCCAATTATGAATATTTCGGCGGGATACAACTCTTGTACCTCCCCTCCTCCCCCTACCTCCAGGGGTGACACGCGGAGGGCGCGAGGGTGTCGGTTCGGTCAGCGGGGACGCGAAAGGGGAGAGAAGGGCGTTGGGTTGGACGTGGAAGAGGGCGGTTTTGAAAGGGTATGGGTCCGGCATAGAGACAATAGTAGGCGGACAAAAGCATGATATACGGCGACCTCGGAGAGCAGTGGTATTAAAATCATATTTTTAAGCTCTCTCTCTCTCTCTCTCTCCCTCTCTCTCTATCTCTCTTCCCTCTCTTCCCACTCCTATCGCATGAGAGCCGCGCTACCCTTACCCGGTGGGTCCGCCCGTCTCTTTTACCGCCGACCGACCCCTATTCCGCACAATCCCATGCCATGGACCGCGAAATGGAGCGCGCAGGACGAGCCGTGTCTTTGCGAAGCGCGCGGCATCGTCGGATTTAATTGGATTCGTCGGCTGTAATTAATGCGCCCGAGCATCGGTTAAGACGGATTGTATTGATTTACTTTCAATATCATCTTCGGAATATAACCGAGACTTTCCAGTTATTCCATGGAAAACTCCATCTACGAATCTGTGCATTTTCACTAGCTCTTCTCTTTTATATTCTCATTTAAAATTTATATAATTTTATATGTATATATAATTTAGAATATGAATAATAATATAATATAATTAACGATACAAGTACAATTTGTTCTCCGTTGGGGAAACTTTTAACTTTTTAATTTTTCAACTTTTATATTTTGTTACATAGCGGAGAGAGGAAAAAAAGAGAAGGAGAGCGAGAATATGTTACGTAATATGTTACTCGCATAAATCTTGTTTAAAATATATTTTAACGTTGCGACCTTATATCAATCAAATATAAATCATGCAACGCGACTCCTCGAACTCGCGATAAGGGGGATTATCGCTAATAATATCCCGTCCGCGCTCGTGCATGATGTTTTTCATAAATCTGCATTCGTTGCGTCGAGAGCAGTTATGAAAAAAATAATCCGACGCTCTCCTCTCGGAGAGAGCGCTTATGCCCGCGTATGCAGGCCCCGGCCGCGTCGCGTCCCGGATGCAGCACTTCATTAAAACTTTTAAATTTTCCTCCGTTCTCATCGCGTTCGCGCGAGTGTACGTAACTCGCGAAAAACCGGCAGAGTTTCGCGCCCGCGCCGCGCATGAATTTGTTGCCGGTCCCTTGAACGTCGTTACGTCAGTCGCGAAGCTGCCTCCCGCATACTCTCTCTCATGTAAGTGTCTCTCGCGTATTTTCTTTTACGTATAACATACGTAAGCTGTGCAACTGTGTACCTTGTTACAAACTACAACGGGCTGTGCAATAATCTGCGTCAGGTTGATGCAAAAATGTGTGACGGCGGATTGGATTTTTATTCCACCTTATTGTTATAATATCTTCTTGGAAAACAACATTTTTATATTCTTTTTATTTTTTTTTATATTTTTTGTTATATTTTTTTATACGCGTCGCAAGTTTACACGAGATTGCGAAACAAAGATAAATATTTTCATCGCGATCAAAAGATTAATCGTTCTTCTTATCGAGACTAACTGCGAGGGATCACGCCGATCGATCTGTAGTTAGGGAGAGGGTCAGTATTATTTCACTTATGTTAATCTCCCGAGGATCCAAGAGCCACCGACGACGTTATTAGGCCCCGGCGGGGTCGGATATCTAATCGACCCGGCAGTAATGTTCGTGTGTGTTGGTAACTTTGTCCCAGCAGAGAGAGAGAGATGGAGAGAATCGCTCCGAGGGATATTCTAATCCACCCCTAGGAGAGAGAGCTCCGCTTTACGGAATCTGGAAGAGGAAACGTATGCGTCTCCACCAGCCTCCGTGTTCGTCATGAAGGATAAACGCGCGAGGATAAACGATAGATCGAGGGAAGGGGATGAAAGAGGAAGGAAAACGATAATTTGACTCACTCAGAGTCGGTGGTTGAGCTCCGAGTACCGGAGACTCGAGTCGTTCGCCGAGCGATTATGTGAAGGGGAGAAGGGGTGCCATTCCACCTTCTTGATATCGCCCGTTAGACGAGGCGACTACCGAAATTTCGCCCTAATCTCGATTTACGGCACCTTGGCAAATCATACATTGTGCCCCCAGCGTTTCTCCCGCTCCTGCGTGCGATTCGCGTTATTAGAGCCGACTGAAAAGCCTCTGTATATCAAACTATCAGTTGACGCTGATCGCTTTTACTTTTTTCTTCTTCGTCGTAAAATGTTTTAACATGCCATAGAGTTATTCTTTGACTAGAATACTTCTGGAAGGAACTCGTGTTATATTTATTATAACTCGTATGGGCAAGAAACGGATATTTGGAATAGATATACGCATCCATGTCTTAAACGTAAGATCGAAATATAAGAGTTGTCTCATATCAAAAAGATTGAAGTAAAAATTTAAGTTTCAACAGAAGCAGAAGCCACCATTGCTCGAGTGTAAAGAGCAGCAGCGATGTTCGCACCGAAATTGTTGAATTATATATCTGTGTGAACGTGCTTAACAACTGTCTGCCGATGGCGCGTAAGACCCGCGAATTTATCAATTTATCGTGTATTCCTTCGAAGGTCTCTGGCGAGGAGATTGCTTGGAATGTCGCCAGGCGAGCTGTTCGTCCAGCCGGAAAGAGAGACTTGCGAGGTGCGCCTGGAAGCTTTTGTAAGAGAAAGTGGCAAAAAAGAATGCACGGATAGTGGACTCGAGGAAGAGGAGAGGTAGTTGGACTGAGAGGGTTGGACAGAAAGGACGGGAGGAAGCGAGCGAGGGAGGCAGGAAGGAAGGAAGGAAGGAAGGAAGGAAGGAAGGAAGGAAAGACGGGAGGCGAAGTCTGGAGCGAGGCGAAGAGACCGCGAAATATCTGTCAATCGCAAGAGAGCGAGGAAGACCGGCGCCGGCAAAGTCGATTTAACGCCCGTTAAGGAAGCAATTCCTTTAAGAAGGACGAGCGCCGGCAGGGACAACGTAACCCCTCCAGGAGATCCTTGACCCTTGCCAAAGGACTTATGACCTTTCCGCGCGGGAATCGCTTCCGTTCACCATTATCGGCGGACGAATAGAACATCAATAACCAATTCCGTAAGACTAATATCGCGAAAATTAGTTTTCCAAAAGTTCTCTCGCTCTCTTGCGCTTGTCCTTCGTCCTATTTCATCGCTCGTGAAAGCTTCGTTAAAAGATCGCGGACTCGCTTCATAGCGACGTTCATGGTTTTCTTAATGTCCATCTGCAGGGGTCGAACGATCATGAATCTTTTTTTATCGTCGCGCGATAGTTCCTTATTTTCCCTCTCTCGTGTTCTTCCTTTCGTTTTCTTTCTTACGTTACGTCAAAGCGAGGTGCCAAGTATCGATCGACGATTCGGCATCTTTAAGATTCGAATTATTAAATTTTCCGATAAAAATACGATTACAAGTTTCGATACAACTTTTTTGATCCCGCATTATTTTCATTTAATTCTCATTGTCAGAGTATGGCATATATATCTTGTGGATGGAAATTTTATCAACTCTCTCCAATAAAGATTCACAATCAATTGTACGGTCATGTGATGAGGACATTCACGTTTCAAAGGACCCATTTCGAGGACATGTCGTAACAATGACCCATCGTACGATGCAAATCTCGCGTCTTTCCAATGGCGTTGATGAATAAGGAATCGTGAGGTCGCTCGCTTTGTATTGTAACGAAATAAAGAGAAAGAGAGGAGGAGTGACATAAAGACCTGGTTGGAAACTGAGTTTCATCAGGCGCTGGCCTCCTTTTCTCGCGCAATCTCGGCTCCTTTATATATTCGCTCTTATCAGAACGTTATGTAGGGAGAGAGCGATACGCCCGAAGGAGGCCCGAAACAGGATTTTGTCTACCAAAGTTGACGGAGTATTCACCATACATTATTCCAGGTCCTTTGTGTGCGCCTCGTGCCGTATCTGTTACGTTGTTCTCGCGCCTTTTTCATCATTTCTTTGTCACCTCCATTGGGGCTCAGACACACACACACACATATATAACTCGATAAAAAATCGACGACGAGGAGCATCCCTTGGCTGTACATTTAAGTTGTGTCAAAAACTTGACGTCAATATATGTTGTATATTTATTATAGCATATATGAATATATATTGTCACATATATAAATATATATAAGTGTGCGATGTAACGATTATATGAAGAGTGTCGATGTATTGAGCGGGTGGCGTACATCATGCAAACAAAAGCTAATCGATCTTAATAAACGTCATTCGTCTATATATCATCGCGTCGGAAATTTTCAGTACAATAGACAGTTGTCAAAATTTTGTAAATATTTTTCCTGCAGAAAAATAAAAAAATGATACTTCAAGAATCACTTAAAACGTTAAATTTTACTGTGATTTTTTGCAGCATAAATTTTTAATTTTTAACAAACATCCTAAAGTGTAATAATATTCCTTTAAGAAAGATGTGTCTACGTGGATATAAATTTTCCAAATTTATCAAACATTGAAACAAAACAAGCAAGTTTATCATTCTCAATATTTGATTACGTAAAAGGACAGAGAGATTTTGATAAATAATATTTTTTTTTTCATTTTTAACCTAGTATTACATAATTCTTCATTTACAAGGGCTTGTCGTGAAAAACGAGACAGAATTTGCAATTTGTGTTATTCATTGCGTTACGGAAACGATATGAAGAGAGGAACCAAGTGTATCGCACAGACCATTAATCTGTCCAATCCGAAAACATGCGTGAGGCCAAAAGTTCAGAAGCTCGTCGGTGCAGATGCGGATTCTCGTCCTGATTCTAATCGCACGACAGATTACTGGACCGCTAGACCAGTGGCAGTTAAAGTTTGTTCGCGAAAGGACATGCAACAAAAGTGCCCGCCAAAGGTGCACGAGACAGGATCATTAAGATTTTTAAAGATTTAATCAATTTTAAGGTCGCTTAAAAAATTATTAATGCATAAGAAGAGTATATTGCATTCGCTTGAAAAAATTAATAATGTAAGAGAAGTATATTATATTTATATAAATATTTCTTTGATAATATATCATAACGTGCTTGATTCAAACTTGAAACAAATCGAGAAATTTCGTTCTTACTTTCAATCTTAATTTTCTTATGTTTACGGATTATAGAGAATTTCGATAGGTTTAATTTATATAGGAATTAAGCTTTCACTTTATATCTCAAGTAGACAGTAAACATTTTTCATTTCCAGGAATTGAAAGAAGTCCTCTCGACAAAAATTATAGATTATAAATAATTTCAGAAGTAGACGATCTTAAAATATCAAAGTAAATATTAGATTAACTTGATAAAACTTGAGATTGAAAGTAAAAAACAATAACTCGACTCGAGAAACGAAGATATATTGGCATTAATGTCATTTTGAATCTTTCTCTCTTTTTCTCTGTCAAATTTTTAAAGGTAAAAATATTCAAATAGTAATACCTATGATTTTTTCGGCCTGTACGTATCCACATGTGCACGTATATTCCGTGCGAATTGCATCCAATTTTGAGTTAAATCATGTGGCTTGTCGAGCTTCACACGATATTGACACGCTGTGTAACGAGATGATGGTGTTCGAGCACCTGTACGGAATTGGTTAGTCGATACGTAGTTGCGTTTACCTGGAATTAGCTCGACAGTCGGTGTACACTGCTACAGCGACTATCGATGGGTCTCTAATGGAGGAGGACGGTCTCTGAGTTCTCTCCTAACTGTTAGGGACATCATCTAAGTCTTGGAACAGGGAAAGAGAGAGGTCAAGCATGACGATGTATATCGAACGAAAGACTCGACGTATTTATCTTCGCGATATTCATCGTGATATTAAATAAACGTATCGCAAGGAACACGCGATTAAAGAGGAATTGATGAATCAACGAGTATCTGTAAAATCTTGCTATGAAAGTCTCGAATTAAGTATCTTCGTGCAGTTTCGTGCAGTTCCTCCCGAGAAGCCGCTTTCGAGGGCCGAGCGTTTTTGCGGGATCGCGATGTGCCTCTTGAAAGGCTCCATCGTCGCCGGTCTTATTTATTGGACCTACACGGAAGGTCTCTGGGGCGACAGCACCGAAACGGAGGATCTGTATTACAGAATAATGAGCACGATTTTTCCTACTGATGAGTCGGTAAATAAACATCGAGTTTTTTTTTTAAACTACAGAGATCCGCTACCTCGCTTTCTCGAGTACCGAGATACTTTTTATCCGCAGGTACAGCTGCCGCATCTGGAGGGAATAAGATACTCGATGTCAGAAGCGTACAATCGTGCGCTGGTGAAATGCATGGATATTATCGTCGGTGTGCCGTTGGAGATGCATCGAAAGCTGCGAGATCTCTTATTCCCGTGTGACGTAACCGGAGGAACGGAAGAAGCGCACGCGAAGCGCATCTGCGAGGAGAACTCGGCGCAGATATGATTTCTCAAATTGTGTCAATATTTAAGATATTACATTGCCATGGGTCGTATTACGGGCATTTTTCTCGAGGAACTTCCGCGTACAAAGCTTTTGTAATCTCGAGCTTACGTGAAATTTTAAGCGAACGTGAATTATTGTGAGATCAGAAATTCCTCCAAAGTAAACGTACTCGATTCGCGCGCAGTTGCTATTAAAAATGTTTTATATGAGGTATATCGTTTTTGTTTTTTTTTTTCTTCTTATACACACGACGTAACCGGGAATATGTAACGTAAGGATTAAAATTCCGCGCGGCATCTTTTCCATTTTTTTCCCCCCGTTATGCTGAAGGGCACACAAGGGAGCTCGCGGAGCGTGCATCTCAAGCGATTTTTATGGTCCGTCTGTCTATTGCCGTAAAACCTTGAATAAAATCGGAATAAAAACCACATCTAGTGTTACGTACCTTCTTCGCTGCAATGCTTCTAATGTAAACGCGCGAATTTTTCCGCATGTATTACATACAGTATGTAAATGTATTGTAATAATCAATGTTGAGAGTCATTAAAAAATATACATGTATTGTTCAAATAAAATTCATGAAAATCAAAAATGTTAATTCTTATAAATTGAAAACGTCATTGATTGAAGCAGTGACATAAGATTTCATCGAAATGAATATTTCACTGATTTTGAATGAAAATATTCATCTTATGTCTCTAGTAGAGATTTTATTGAAAAATCAGCAAAAATATAAATTTGCTAGATGTATTTTTAAAACTCTTTTTATTTATTTTTAATTGGCATTTTTTTAATAAAAGCCTCTATTATTTCATAAAAGCCACATATCTGAATGAACATATAATTAATTCAAAAATTCGAATTTATATACATATTATACTTTTTTATATTTTTAAGATATAATAAATTCGCAAAATACAGAATTTTTGATAAAAAGTAAGAAATCTTAATATTTAATACTTCTTTACTTAAATATTTTTTTTTAAATATGTTTTATCTCATGTATTATAATAAATATGCACTTTTTAAATGTCATTTGAAACAAGCCATACTAACTGATTCTTTCACTGATTTATTATATTTATAATTGACAAAGAGACCATCAGTGATTATTCTCTATTTTTCAATGACAAAACCCTAATTTCATTTAAGAGGACAACCGACTTTTACCAACGCATATTCGTAATATCTTAAGACTTACGTGTGTCTCCTGACAGGGCACCACAGCAAGAATTTCTCAAAGCCGTCGCTCCGAGAGTTGACTTCTCACGTGCTGAGTATTCCTTTTTCGTCGAACCGGAAGGAAGTTTCGGCCTCCATTTTTCAGGCGCGTCTATCTTTTTGCGGCACGTGAGCATCGTTTGTCAAGGCGCCTATTTTACTTTATAAGCGCGCTCCTCTCGCTTTCTCTCTCCTGAGTATACAGAAGGATATCCTACATAAAGGTAGAATACATACTGTTTTCTTTTTAAAAAAAACAAGCTTTTTCTTTCTTTGGCAGAGTTTCCAGGAAATGCATTGTCCTCGAAATATCTCATTGTTTAATGTGTCAATACTGTGCATTTGCTATTTCTCGATTCTTTGTATAAATATTTTAATAAATCTGTTATACAATTAAATCTAATATTTACGTTACATGTAGACATTGAGGCATATATCCCTTTATTTACATCGAAACCGGAAAAAACATTTCATGTAAGAAAATTTCTTTCATATCAACTCAAAGTTTCTCTCCTCAGGTATTCCACTAGAAAAATGTGAAGATTATATTTAATTATACAAAAATTAACAAAATTACATCAAATTATTTACATTAAGAATTAGGAAATGCTATATTGGCACATCGTAAAACGAAAAATTTTATCAAAGAAAAAAAAGATGCTAATCTTTCGACAAGAAATACCGCTCTGTACCCAATCTACATAGGACACTTTGTATATCGATCGTTGCACGGTTACAAGTACCGCCTGGTAGCGAGTAGTACCGCGCAAAATAAACACATAGCACGAGATTCGGACAATTAAACAGTTTATTTCAGATCAAAACATGGTGTTATGTATATACATACGACTTTAGTTAAACGATATGCGGGGGAGGGGGTCTGATATGAAATCACCTGTACAGTGAACTTGAAGTTCGACGACGTCGATCGATTTACATGGACATCTGTCGCGTCATTAAGTACAGCTGATTATGTACAATCGTTAGTCGCTATTATTATTTCCTTGTGACGCGTTTGCTCTTTTCTTTTTTTTTTTTTGCACTTGATTGTGGTTGGGTTACGTCGACTCACGGTTATCTGCGGCTCCTACTTTGGCGATCTTTCTCGCACACACGCTCGCTTGAATAAGATCCTCGCACATACTTGTGTACATATGTGTGTGTATGTGTGTTAATAACCCCGATGTTCCCAGATGTTTTACAATGGCAGCATGAATGGGCAGTATAGTGCTTTGTCTTATTTCTAATCCTCGGTCTGCTTTAATATGTCATATCTCTCTTCGTCATTCATCCTGGAATTTTTCAAACAGATTCTCACAGACGTAAAAGGTATGTGTGCATCATCGAAAAACATAGGGGGAGAGAATTTAAAAGATCTCTGTAAAACGACGTTGTCGAGCGCGACAACCGTTGCGGAAATAATTTCGACGATATTTCTTCGATGAAGTGCAACGTTAATTAAACGAGATGCGCTCGACAATCATCTCGAAAACTTGAACGTTCGTCAACTTATCGTTATAAACTCTTTCGTGATAATATGTATATACAGCGATATATATTAGCTAACGAGCAATCATATCTCGTGTGTATTTGATCATCATCGTTTTTACACATCGAAAATAGACACAGGCTCGACCGATTCGATGTCGGTCGCTTTTCGTGTTCTGGCGAGATAACGTTCCATTACGCGACACTCGTTACTCACTCATCGATTTCTCACTCTATTTTTTTTTATTTATACACATTACGGAGTCTATGAGTCATTCGAGAGAACTTTTAACGAGCACAAAGTTCATGTTAGATTATTCCAGATACGCTTTTCGTGTAGATTCGTTAGTTCCGTTCTCGCGCGTGAGAAGTTTCACGACTTTCGTCGCCGTGTGTCACGTGGAAGACCAGTTTTTGCAAACATCCTTACATATAGTGAAGTTTCCTTCACACATGCCTAGAAATTCGCGGACACCGCGTATCATATGCCATTCCTCTCTCTCTCTCTCTCTCTCTCTCTCTCTCTCTCTCTCTCCCTCTCTCTCTCTCTCATTGTCGCGAATCAAACGAAATCGCGAATAACGCTTCGATAAAGAACTCGTTAAACTATGTATATATTTACACACGCGCACGCGCACACACACATACATCATCCAGAGTGAGAGTATTTCGATGAAAATGTTTGAGAGCATTCGATAATCTCACGAGAGTTATCCGACATTTTTTTACGGGATAGAGAAAACTCATATCAGCGGTAGAAAAATTTACAAATGTTCTATCACACATACACATACACATACAATTATTAATAGAGTATAACACGCGTCTGGTCTTTATTTTCTTAGAATCGTTTCGCTTTGTACATTACGCGGCTCGGCATATTTGCATTCACCCCCTCCCCTAGATAGGAGGAGAAAGGGAGCTGTCTTGTCCGTCTGTTAATTTAATCATTTACTCGTCGAATTATACACACAGGTGGACAGACAATCGATGCATAAGGATGTTTAATATTGCTGCGTGTCTTGTCGATGATTCGTGAGTATTTTTCTGAGAAGGGTGAAGATTGTTTGAAATTTCACGGTATAGAGTTATTCGCGCGAATGTGCTCGATATCGCGCGCGAAAAAGTTGTGTGCCCAAAAATATCGAATTCGGAATTTAAACGGGATATGTCGATGTTCGCGGTGTCTCTCCGCATTTTCCCGATCCCTCCCTCCCCGCCCTCTTGCTTTTTTTATCGTGATATCGGAACCGATCATTCAACCTTAAAACTGTATTTCACGCCTTCAAACTACACCCAGGCCAGAGTGGCATCGGGCACATTTTCCTTCTTCCCTTCATTCCGCCCTTCTCTCCTCATCTGATTTCTTCTCCCGCTCTTCACTCTCCCTCCCTTCCGGTATATTTTCACGCGGTTCCTCCATTCATCTTCATTCGAGCCATCGGAAAAGAGGTTCGTTCGAGAGCCTTTTATCTTTTCTTGTATTTCACGGCCTGATGTTTCCGAACCAACGTCTCGTTGCTAGAATTTGGATTTATTTAGGGATGCAGCGTGAGATGCTAACAAGTAGGGAGATAGCGAAAAAGCAAAAGATAATAATAGACAAGAGATTAATAGTATTTCGAGGAAGAAAGTCACCTCTGAAACTGAAAAATAAAAATAAATTAATTAAAAATAAAAAAAGAATAATTAATTACTTATTTGCTGGAAAAAAATTCTACAAATTAGATAAAATTAGGACGAAGAGGAGAGGTTTCGACGTTTGTGCAACAAAAATCTTATCTGCGGAAAAGTGGCAAGTTGTTTCTCGGAAACGTATTTATTTAATCTGCTAATTCTATTTCGAGATAGCTCTCTCGCCAAAAAATTCGGTTCTCCTTTCATTCGATTCGGCTATTTCTCTAATGTTACAACAAAGAGAAGCGAAACTCCGTTGAAGAAATATTCGACAAGATACCGTCGAAGATCATTTGATTTGAAAGAAAAAGAGGAGCAAAGACGGTTAAGTCAACGACCGAGAGAACAGAATGTTACAACTTGGCGACGATACCTTCCTCCGAGGCGAAGAGAAGAGAGGAAAGGGGGGAAGGAGGAAGTTTGAAAAGTTTTCAGTTGACTTCTCCGCATACTTTCGCCCCGTGGAAGGAAAACTAACGATCGTCGCGGCCGTGTTTCAAAAACAATCGGTGACGTACGGTGTCTCTAATCTCGCGAGCCATTTCCGCGAGAACTCGGACCAGCTCGCGTGGAATCAATCGTTCGCGAGACACATAATGCGATCCGCGACACGTAACCCCGACCTGCTATTGATCGCTCGAACCTTGTCTCCACCGAGTTTCCCCGAGTTGATCGTGCCGTATCGTAAACACACGTTAATGCTAACAGACAGTCTGTCACGAAAACGGACAATGTAAATGTCTCCTCGACAGGACCTTCTCTCTCTGTTAAAATTGCTCTTGGATATGTTGACGAGTGTTTTTTGAGTTCCTCGAGCTCGTCTTTCGCCAGGGTCTCGTACGACGCGATAGTTACATCTTCTCGATTGCTACCAGGGTAACGATACCACGTCACCTGCGGTCGAGCCTCGCTTCTAGACGCAGCTCTCCGGCAGTCTGTTGGCCATCAGTCTTCGCTTGATTGCCTCGCCGTCGAGACACTCGCCGGCCACGATAACGCCTTGACCGCCACCCACAACGACACCCTGGGCACCGCCGATGACGACGCCCTGGCCGGCGCCCACCATCACCCCCGTCACCGGCATCCCCGGCAGATTCGATATTGTGCTCCTCGACGGTAACCTCAGCTCCGTCGGCCTCCCCGTGAACTTGTGGCAGAGCTCGTCTATGCTTGGCGTAGGTCCAGGCGTGACCCAGTGTCCCGGGGGATAACCGCCCGGGTAACTCGGCGGGCTGACTTCCACGAGGTTACCCTCTGGAACACCGAAGCAGACGGGGATCTTTGTCGGAAGCTGTCGAATATGAGAATAAATGTGAAAGTAAAGAGCACTGGTCTCTTGGTTTTCCTTATTTTTCCTCGTTATTTTAAATCTCGCGACAAGAATAGAACTGCTGCAACCTCGATGTTTTCTTTATGATAGCCGTGTTTGAGGAACGAAACGTGATCAATTCCTTTACCGCTGTTATTTTAAGGCTCGCTATATGATGATATATTTCGCGACAGATTTCTACTAATAATTTTATGTGATATATAACAGCTTTGAAAAAGTTAAATACACACATGCATTGGGATATGCAACACGTAAACGTAAATCGAATTATATCTTGATTTCATAAATTATTTAACAAAACAAGTTTTAGATGTAAAAACAGAATACGCGAATTTTCATTTTCCCCATCTCGAGATAATTGCAGCCAGTATAATAACTTTCAGTAAAGTTTTCAGTTATCTCATTTTTAAAAATATTTAAAAAATATATAATAATTAAATAATATTATTTAATATATAATATTAAATAATAATATTTAAAAAAATCACGCACGTGACTCTTTTTTCCTCTTCCTCTTTCTCTATCAACTATAGGATGTCGGAAACGATTGTAATCGGATTCGCGCGCGGGCTGTTTCAGTCCGCGATATCGATGGGAGTCTTACCGAACTTGTTCGGGATCACATCGGGATCAGTCTCCACGGTCTGCTGGGAATTCTGCATGGGATATTGTTGAGGTGGTAACTCGCTGAGTTCCGCCGGTTTCTCGTGCCGCGGCTTTGCCACGCGCTCCCGACGTACTCTGACCACCACAATCAGGATGATGAGAACCAGAGTCACCAGAGCGCCGACCACTACGCCTATCAGCGGTGAAAATTCGATGCCGGCGTCCTGACCTGTAACAATCGAATAAAACGATGTTTATTCTTCTGTTCTTAATGTGAAAATTTAATAAAAGTTCGCTCACTGGTCGATTATTCAGTCAAGCAAAAATAGCGAAAAAAGCAATTAAATACTTGCGGCCTATAAATTTATTAGAAAACAATTTATTAAAAATAAATTTAGACTTAAAATATGATACATATTCGTTTATATTGTTGCGCCTGATCAAATGAATAAAAGAAACTTTCTATAAATTTTCAAGTATTTAATTTGTGCATTGATTACTCTTCGCAATTTAAAAACAAATGTTGCCAAGAGAGATCAATCTATCAATAATTGTGATAAATTATGCTCGCCGTTTTTGCTTTTTTTTCATCTTGTACACTTACAAATCGACGTTTTCCTGAATATTTTTTGCTACGTCTTTAATTAAATCAATATAGGAGGATTGTGTTAAAAGAAAGAATTGTATAATGGAATAGGTAATTCTGTGAGGAAGCGACAAGAAATACAAAATTAATGTGGATATTTCTTTGAGGCGCAGGATTAACCACACTGTGTCATGGTAAAAAGAAAACGACTGTTGCATCATCTACTCTCCTATGCTACTTATGAAACGCTTCATTTTTTTCTTGTTTCTTCTCCTCTCTTTCTCTGCAAGGTAGCTTTGTTACATGCGTAAACAAACCCCGACCGGCGCCGTAGAGAAAACATTTTATATTCCTCAACGTCGGGATTACATCTGGCATGCCGGTATTTTTTGCGGCGCTGTCACGTACACACGGTTTTACCCGCATTTTGTATTTTCGAATCGCCTGTGGAATCTCAAGTAGAAATGGCAATCGCATAAAAAAAGTATTCGGCCACGAAATGTGATCAATAAGAAATATTTTATCTGCATGCGCGAGTACAATCGTATCAAATTTATTCATACATCGCAAACACACATATATATTAAAACGAATAATTATTTAATTTTCCAAAATACGCCAAAATATGATTTTTGGACTGCTCTTTATCAATTTCTTTTGGAAAAATATGCCTCTCAGATTTGGAGCAATACAAACTATAAATGTATTTTCTTAAATGTAATCATTAAATGTAATTAAATGTAATCAAATGTATTGTCATTAGAAAGCAGTGAATAGTGATTGACGGTATCAGTTATCAGAATATTGCAATCAGTGAAATTTTATTGAAAAAAAATTTCAATTAGTGGTAATGACTATTTCAATCAGCGATTTTGTTTAATCTTATATATTATATATTATATAAGATAATATATAATACGATAATAATAATATGTAAGATATAAGATAAATTTGTAACATACATTTTGTTAAAGAAATGTTTGAGTTTGATCAAAAGTCTTTGTTTTGTGGATTTATCATATTTTTAAATAAAAAAATATGACAAACTTAATACTATACGTGTTTCATTCCAGATATGTATCCGTAAAGGCTTTTCCCAAAAAATGGCAATTTAAAATAGAAAAAATTTTAAAAGTTAAACATCTTACAAATACATATGATTATTGCGAATTCTTCAATGAAATCTTATTGTCATAATCAGACGGACGAGTAAAAGTATATATTAATATCTTCGTTAAACAACAGAAATACTCGCTCTGATGAAATTTTGTGCCAGCATTTTTCACTAGTTTAAGTTTAAAAGAGTATCTCTGTCAAATGAAAGCGAGCAATATTTTTTTTTTTTAGAAATTTTGCATAAACCGCGACGAGAGATTTTGTTGCGGAGGGTACGATTTTCTCAGCGAAGAATCGGCGAACGATACGGGAAATCTTGCAGCATTATTTTTTCCCCTTTCTTAGCACCTCCACCTCGCGATATACCACCGTTCGCGCGCACGTGATAGCGTCCCGCCGCTTGATAGCGTGGCCGGTGGAGCGTGGGATCGCGCCTGCTGTTTTTGTCGGATAATTAACAAAACTGCTCCTCCTCTCGCGCCTCGTGAGTTGCAAACCGGCGCGATCAGGTGCGCCGGTCGGCATAAAGCGGACTGCGAAAAGCGAGAGACTTTAATTCTTAAATTCTCTCGTCCAGGAGAGGGAAGAGAGAGAGAGAGAGAGGCGCCAACTTATTTATGTCGATTAAACTGGCCCAGGTCAGAGTTTTTGCTTGCACGCTCATAACGTGACTCACGTAGGTTGTTTTAATTGGGTTGTTTTTTTACCGATATTAGAAAATATTTGCTCGATTTAGAAATTCGACTATCAGATATTTATTCAGTTATTATCAGTTATTCTTTTAACAATTAATTATTGCGTGGAAAAAACTATACGAAATATTGTTGTCGCGCATTTTTTTCGGAGCAAAAAAAAGATCGTAAAACATAGTAGTGGTGCTCCGAATAATATAGAAATATGTTGTTACTCGAGAAAAAGAAATAAAGCTGATATATCAAGGGACAAATTAGTCGTTTGTAAGCTCGCATATCTAATACAGGTAAACGCATTAAGACGCACGTGGGTGTGTATTATACATGTGACATATGTTGTTGATATGTGGTAATACCCCGGTAAAATCCCGGGTTTAATCAACCAGCAGCTCAGATATTCAGCGCCATGACCGACTCCCATAACCCAGGGAAGGCTCACGCGCTCAGGTGTTATTCCGAAGACCACAAGTGTCAGACCGGGTAAATGAGCTTTCTGAGCTGTGGAGGAAAAAACAATGTTTTTCCGTAGCACGAAGTCTTAACACATTCTGAAGCGGTGATCTTAAGATCTCGTCGCTTAACGAGACACGCGTGCGCTCGAGCTCGAGCAGAGATTATTCCGGAAATGCACAGGGATTTACGAAAAATGCCGGGTAATTGCGCCAGGAATATAAGCCGGGGAACTGAAGTTTCCTCTCAAGAATCTTCTCAGCGCGCACTCGACATTTAAATTCACGCAAAATAAACTCGCACTCGTTACGTCATTAACGTTCGGTCTAAACTTTTTTTTTTTTCATTTATATTTTGCATTGAAATACTTTTCGCAAAAATGGACGTAGCGTGTTTGTCACAAATTTATAAACTTTTAGACCCGTCTTTTGCCTGCGTCGCTCAAGACATGTATTCACGCGACCGTATAAGAGCATGTGCACAGCTACACTGTAAATGAGTTCCGTGTATACTGAGAATAACGAGTCACAAGACAAGAAAAGGAAGACGAATAAACGTAAAATTTCAGCTGTTGCAAAATTTTCTCTCTCTCTCTCTCTCTGTTACATAATCGCTCTATTTGTGAAAACTTTATCTAGTACATAATTGATACAGATTAATGAATATACATGAATAATATTATGCCAGTAACATTTTTCATGTAATTGCTCGCGCGTTTTCGTCCGGAATGTAAAGGAAGATTTATGAAAGTCATCATAGTAACGCGTACAGTGAGCATGTCACGCGTGAGTACACATAAGTGGCACACGGAGTCCTATTGTAACGAACTTAAGAAACTCTCGTAAATTCATCCAGCTCCGCGAATGAACTACAATAAAGCTTTTGACAATTTAGCGGGGAAAGATTTATGATAGCCTCGCGCTCGTATGCGATGGTTTAAGTTTTTAAATATTTCATTCATTTTTTATTTTTCTTCATTTTTGTAAATTTTAAAAACGAACTCGCCGCTTTGCGTCATTATATAAGTCAAGTTCTTATCCAGTATGTAGCTAGGTTCTTATATCTTGTTACACGTTTTCACCGCACTCGGGTAACTTTATTCGACGTTTCACGTTTGCCTCATTCCTTGCGATGTTTTTTCGGTAATACTTTCGAGATCGACAGATAATTTTTCAATTTATTATCGCTCTTACACGCGGAATGCGCTCGTGCGTTCGACGGAGAATTGGTACATTTAGCGATCGTATACAACCCTAAGCCTCCGATACTGTCTCGTAAAAGTTGCAATGGAAGTTTAATCGAGTTCTACGCGGAGAAACGTCTGGTGCCAGGGTAGTAAAGATAAACCGGTCCTTATATCGTCGATCCTTGCGAGAAAGGACTAACGGGATTCACGAAGAGGAAAAGAGGTGGAGAAAGAGAGAGAGAGAGAGAAAGAGATCGCATATCCCAACGGATTCCCGAATCCTAAGTTCATCGAAGTTTAGATCACTAATCGGACTTGCAGTAGGGTCAGGGATGGAATCTAACCGCTTGGATTATTTGGGAAAAATATCCCTCGCTGTGGATTTCATCGTTGAAAAAAATTCCGGATTGTCCGAAACTTTTTCTATCTGTCAGGAACATCGGAAACTTTGCTTGTACCTTGATCGATTGTTATTTCTGTCGATTATTTCTGCGGGCTCTTTAAGATTGTAGAAAGAATCGATAAATCTATTAACGGAATATTTTCGGAGTCGATTCACTTCATTAGCTATAGCGGCGCGGATAATTCAATTGACTCATAATTAATTTCAATTTATGTATTAGAAATCAGAATAAAATAGCAATTCTCTTCAGAAAACAAATGATTAAATTATAAACTTTTAATGTATCGAGTAAAGTATTGTCTAGCTATTTCAAATATATATCCCGAAAAAGAGGTACGTCAATTAGCAATGTTTTATCTCAACAAAAAAATCACGACGTGTTATTATTTAATATAAGCGATCCGGGGTTTCATTAATTTTGATTAACGGAGGAAAATTTTATCCGATAAATTTATAGCGTAAAAGAGAGTTCGGGAGGATAAATCATCACCGGAGAGAGAAGATATTCGGCGGAGAGTTAAGGAAGATCCCCTTTAAAAGGGGAGGGAATTACATCGCCGTAACATTGGCGTCCGCGTTAGAGGTAAGACGAAGCCTCGGAGGTCATGTGGCCGGTTAAGTCACCAAGAAGCCAGGCTTAGCCGGCGCCCAAATCCAAGTTCGGTTCACCTGGATTAATTCTAACATAGGGTCGAACTCCGGATCGTTGTTCCGTCGTCCTTTCCTCTCCCCTTCGGTCGGCTAAAGCGACTTAGAGTCCCCTGCTTTCAATTAATGAAAGCGTTCACGCGGCGCA